TTTTCAGGGTCATGGAGTTCCAGGTGGTGCATCTGGGACATGGAGCCGCCGATCTGGCCTCCCTGCCCCACTCCACACAGAACAGAAACCCGCTGTGGGGATGGGAGGTGAGGACAGCCCCCCAGGAGTACTTCCTGGGCACCGGGGAAGCCATGAGCGCTCTAGGGGCTCTAACCCTATCACATTCACAGCACCTAAGGAAGACACCAGTCGCAACAGAGGCGGCAGGCCCAGGCCGGGGGAGTCAGCCTGGCTCTCTACTCTGAACTCCTAACCAGCACCTGATTCTCCCATCCAGCGTGCAGTGTAGCATGGGGCCATGCACAGTGCTCAGTATGTCAGGGACCAAGATGACTCTCCCCACTGACACCAGCTGGGGACGGGGAAGGTCTGACCTGGCTAAACTACCACCAGGTGGAAGGGACAACCAGTTCCCCAGCAGGACCACCGAGGTAGGAAGACCAGGATGCTGCAGCAAAGAGCAACCTTCTCGAGAAGCTGACCCAAGGGGTGGCCTGCCCCTCCTGGCAGTGCTGGGCTGCTGGGGGAGGGGGGATACCCACCTTAGCAGTGACCATGTGCTCCCCAAAATGCCGGATCAGGTCCCCCTGCATCACCAGTGGCAGCTGCTCCTTGGACAGCAGGGGCAGGGCAGTGCCCAGCAGGCGGAAACAAAGGTAGCTGAGGGGTGTGCAGCAGAGCCTGGTCAGAGCCTGGGCCACACCAAGTGGTGTCTGGGGCCCCGAGCCCACCCCACCACCGAACAGGAAAGGGGGTGTGCAGAGGACAAGCGCCACACGCACCTGGCTGGCCAGAACTGCTTCTTCAGCAGCCCCTGCTCCACGACTTCCTTCCAGAACCATGGGAACCTGCCCTCCTGAAGCGCCAGGCGGAGCAGGTCCAGGGCCACAGTGGGCAGCTTGCGCTCCTTCTTCACAGAGGCAGCCGCCGTCTTCAGGACGTTCACCAGTCTAGGGAAGGGATGGAGGGAACTCAGGGGGCACCGGCCAACCAGACAACAGGGTCCCTAGGGGAGCCCATCCTCCCACATCCCTCACACCTGGGGATGTTCTCATCTGAGAACAAGTTGACGGGTCCTATCAGCTCCTTCAGCTTCTCAGGCACCTTCTGCTGGGCCAAGAGGAAGAGCTCCAGGTGCTCAGGGGAGCCCAGCACCGAATTTAAGTCCGCCTTGAGGACTTTTGGCAGGATCTCCTGCAACACGGCTTCCGGGACCTGGGGCGGGGACACAGGTTGGAGTGGGGGTGGCGGCAGCAGCTCCCCCAGCACCCTGTGTCACCTCTCCTGCCATGTAAGCCCCACGGGCTGTTCCATCTGCCTAGGGTCCCATGAGGTCCCGACAGTGCCAGTCTGGGGTGGGATAGCCACAATCCACCCTGGCAAGCATCAGGATCGTTACATGGTACAGGCTGAAAAGCTCAACCTCCCCCACCCCCCAGTCCCAGGATTCTAGTAACTACCTGCTGGTGCTAACTAGCTACTTTTAAAATTATTCCTCTCGGTTTTTTTTTTCAGGAGTGGCTCATTTCTTACAGGAGGTAAATGGAGAGCTAGGACTTGGATTCAGGTCCTTCTAGCTCTGGGGCCAGGGCTATGCCAGTCCTTGCCTCTTCCTCAAGAGCAAAGGGTTCTAGATACGAGCACACCTCCATTTCCCAAGCAGGGCAAGGAGTCCTGGGGGGTTCCTCTCCATCCAAAACAACACATTTAATGTATTTGCCACATATTAGGTGCTATTCTAGGATCATATTGTCCAATGTGGCAAACGCTGAGCTCTTGGAACGTGCTAACCTGACTGGAAATGTGCTATTAGGTACAAAACACACAACAGACTCTAGAAACCTGATGTGAAAAGAACATAAAGACACTCTGCACGTTTTTACACTAACTTTGTGTTGAAATACTGCTCCAAGTACGTTAGACTGAACACCTATCTACGACATAGCTCTCCCTAGAACATCTGTCTTCCTCTGCTCTCTTCAGTGTTTCCACATCGGGAGCGATGCCAGAGGTCCTGTGGCTGTTAAGCCCATACCTCAGACAGTATGTCCACCAGGGCCTTCTGAGGCTGTTCCTGCAAGTGGTTGTGGTGCTGGGCAAGGATCTGCAGCAGCTTTACCGCCTTCATCAGGGCCTCTGAGTCCTGGTGCCCACAGTGGGGAGAGGATATATAAGCAGAGCATGCCACGGACCCCCAGCACTCCCAAGCCCCTCCACGTACCCTTACCCCCAAAGCGCTTACCTTCACTAGCCTGCCTGATTGAAAGAGGGCGAGCACCCCAAACAGGTTTGCAAAAAGAGCAGGTCTCATTATGGCCTAAAGAAGGATTTCAGGCTGAGATAAAAAGGGCCTGAGTAACCCCACTCTGGGGCTGCCGATCTAAAGCCACTAGCTCTCACCTTCTTCGCTTTCTGCAGGTCATGCTTCTCCTGTATCTGCTGCAAGACGCTGCACAAGGGGATGTCTTCAAAAGACTGTAACAGCTGTGGGGTTGAGGGGGGAGCAGGAGGGCGAGAGGGGCTCAGGGCGGAGGTCCAGCCTCCTCCCACGGCTCCCTCCAACTAGTACCCAGAGGCCCTGGTGCCCCTTGAAACTGCCCTTGCCCGAGCAGCGCTGGTGTGAAACGCTGCTGCTCAGCCCAATCTAGCCTCCCTGGCTCATGCCCACCCACTCTACCTCCACCGCCTGCTCTGAGCTGCCCACAGGGGGTTCCTGAGGGACTGGGTCTGTAACGGCCTCCCACATGCCCTCCCACATGCCCTCGTGCCTCAGGGGTGGCCTATACCCAGCGGAGTTACCCCTGGAAGAGAAAAAGCCCTGATCCCTGAAAATACAAAGCAACCCACCCCGGAGCTCACAATACCCCCTAAATGCACCTCTGAGACCAGCCAACCCCTGGGCCCAAGCAGGAAACCAGCTCGCCCTCCCCTCCACCGCCTGCACTTCTCTGCGGGCGGCAGGCCTGCGGGGACGCCAGCTTCGGCTCGGATGCCACCAACGCCCGGACCACCGGCTCCGCATGCTGCTGAGACGAGCACCCCCCCAGCTTCTCCCTTGTCCCCGCTGCTCCGACCTGCACCGCTGGGCCCCTTCCAGGAGCCGCCTCCTCACCTGTGCCAGGGCCACACTGTAGCAGGGCCGGGCAGTCTCCCGGCCGGCCCCGAGCCCGGTGACGAGGCGCTTCAGGGCGTACTTCATCTCGGACCCCTGCCCAGCAAGCGCGTGCAGCGGTCAGAACGGTCGTGCCGCGCTGGCCCGGGGCCCCCCGCCGCCGCCCCGGGCCCCTCGGCCCCCCGCCCCGTGCACCCCCCCGCCCTCCTCCGCGGCCCCGGCCCCCCGCCCCTCCGCCTCCCCCGCCCTCCTCCGCGGCCGCCGCCGCCGCCGCCGCCGCCGCCGCACCTGTGGCCTCGCGCGCAGATACTCCAGCAGGTGCTCCGTGGCCGCCAGCCGCGTCTCCTGCTCCGGCTTCGCGATGTCCCAGAAGAAGTCCAAGAACTCGCGGCTCTGCTTCAGCAGGCCCTCACGATCGGCGGGCCGGGCGCCGCTGTCGGCCGCCCCCCCGGGGCTCCCAGGCTCCGCGGCCGCGCGGCTCTCCGTCTCCGCCATGCTCCCGACCACGTGGGCCCGGCGCGGCCTCTTCCGGGTCAGGTCGCGGCGCCTGCGCACTGGGTACCCGGGGGCGAGGCCCGCCTGGCGGGCGGCGGGCGGGCGGGCGGGGCGGGGCGGGCCGCGCGGTCCGCGCGGGGCGGATTGATTTATTTTTTATTTAAAGATTTTATCTACTTATTCATGACCGAGGCAGAGATTGAGTGAGAGGCAGAGACACAGGCGGAGGGAGAGCTGGCTCCGTGCGGGAGCCCGACGCGGGACTCGATCCCGGGCCCCCAGGATCACGCCCGGGCTGCGGGCTGCGGGCTGCAGGCGGCGCCACACCGCTGGGCCGCCGGGCGTGCACCAGGGGCTGCCCAGGGTTGACTGATTCCAAGACTTACTTATTCTACAGCGAGCGAGCGAGCGAGCGAGCGAGCAGGGGGAGGGCAGAGGCGGAGAGAGCTTCAGGCGGACTCCCCGATGGGCAGAGAGCCTGATGCGGGGCTCGATCCCACCACCTGCGCTGAGATCAGGACCTGAGCCGAGACCGAGAGCCGGATCCTTACCCCACCGAGCCCTCCAGGCACCCCCCCCCCCCCCGCTGGGGTTTTAATCTGAGCGCGGCTACAAAGTCCTCGGAGGGATTGCAAGCCTTGATGCTGTTTACATTCTTGAAAGCTTATTCCTCGGCCACTTGGGGAGAGGATTGTAGGATTGCAGGGGGAGGATCTACCCAATGGGTACTGGCGGGCAGGGGTGGAGCAAAGTAATAGGTCAGTCCAGCGACTTAGACTTCAGAGCTGGTGTAGGGAAGAAGAGACAGGGCTAACCCAGCCAGGTAGACAGAGGCACCGCTTAGCTCAGGGCGTGACCCTGAAGTCCCAGGATCCAGTCCCACATCAGGCTCCCTACACAGAGCCTGCCTCCCCCTCTGCCTGTGTCTCTGCCTCTTTCTATGTCTCTCATGGATAAACAAACATCTTTAAAAAAAAAAAGAAAAAAGGTCCATGGAATCAGAGGGAACTTCTGCGAGGGCAGGGAGGAGCCAGGTGGGCCCCCCTGTGCCTGCACTAGAGATGCAGTCTCTGGAGGGTAGCAGCCCTAGGGACCCCAGCCCTGGGGGATGAGGGGGCGGGCCATGTCAGGGTCAATACCCCCCTCCTTAGATCCCACAACCTCACCTCCTATCCCTCCTCTCAACCCCTTCCTTGCTCTGCTGCTTTCGGGATATGAAAACGTGTACCTTGTGTAGACGCCGCCCCAGGAGGCAGAGGGTTGAGCGGGGCAGGGGCAAGCCTCTGGACCCTAGCCAGGGCTCTGCTGTGCTGCCCGAGGGGGAAGCCACGGCAGGCACCTGGGAACCTGGGAAGCAGAATTGGCACAGGCATCCAGGAGATTTGATATTTATTTTGTTTCCAGATCAGCTGACAGAGGTCAGCAGAGGGTGGGTGTCCTGAAGAGGAGGCCAGAGAGGTCTTCCTGCCCCTCCCATGGGGCCTGCGGCCAAGGCACAAGCTTGGCACCCTTCTACCTGTCCTTCTCAGAGCTGGATCTGAACTGAGGGCTGACGCTGCGGCCTGGTGCTCTTACCCCATTACCCTCAGTATCCTTAAGCGAAAAAAGACCCAGATCTGGAGTCCAGATTGGTGACCAGGTCAGAGGCTGTGAGCACATAATTTGTGCACACTCTGCATGCACGTCATCCCTGCCGGGCCTGCAGACCTGAGAACCCCCACCCCACCCTCACTGCTACACACTGCCTCCTGCTTAGAAGCCCTGGAAGGTGCAGCAGCCACTGGGGATGCTGGAGACGTGGGCGTGCTCTGCATGAGCGGCCACCTGGAGCAGGATCCCTTGGCCGCAAATGCTAGTGTTCTGTGTTGGTCCCTGGTGCTGCCAGTGCTGGGCCTGGTTTTGGGACCCAGCCAGGTGACCAAGCAGGGCACGAGTTGTGACCCTGGCCACATCAGGAGCTCCTGAAGCCACCAGCCCCAGCACATCAGCATCTGTGTCATCCAAGCTGCTGTGAAGGACAAGGGGGCAGGCCCAGGCACTAGTGGCAGGTGCAGCCACCAGATCACTAAGTAGAACCCCAGTGCTTGGGGACAGGTGTCCAGAGCCAAAGGAGCTGTTGAGTGAGGAGATTAGAAGGAGCATGGAGCCAGTGCTGTCTATGGTGGCCAGGACACTGCCCACAGGGGTCACAGGAGTTTGTGGGAGTGGTGGGCAGAGGTCGGGAGGGGGCCTTCCAGAATGCAGGGCTGCCTGCAACATGGCCAGCAGCTCTGGGCCAGCAGAGGGGCTGCGGGTGGTGGACAGGACACCCTGGGGCACAGCCAGCTGCAGTGCCGGCTCCAGGGAGGGTGTGGGCCCCACGGAGGGTGCCTGCAGCCCCAGGTCTCTGAGTAGTGGCCTCAGTAGGGCCTCCCCGGCGAGGTCTGGGGTGGGGGCCAGTGCTGCCCTGTGTAGCACAGCCGCCAGGCTTGGGTTGGTGGCTCGGGCCCCAGGGCCCAGGGGCGTCCCGTCACTGTGGCATAGCAGCGGACAGAGGCCCTCTGTGCCCTGCGCGGCCAGAGCCCCAGCCAGGGCCGTGTCTACCAGGAAGCCCTCCTGAGCCAGCGTGCTGGGGCCAGCCAGCAGCTGTGGCCAGGGCAGGTGGCCGAAGTGCATGTGCAGCAAGCGCAGAGTCTGCAGAGCAGACGGCAGCCCCAGGCCCGGGGCCAGGGTCCGGGCTGGGCCCGACGTCAGGGCGGTCGATCTGCCCGAGGTGCCGTTATGGAAGAGACCCCAGAACATGGCACCTGCAGGGGAGAAAGGGGTCACACAGGACTCGGTGACACGGGGGTCGGGAGTCACTGCCTGGGCTGGAGACAGGGGTCGTTAACCAGGCCTGGGGTCATGATCCCTCGGACCTTGGAACAGGGGCCACAGCCCAGAGTGGAGGCTCCTAACTCTCCTGGGTCCTGCCACCAACCGGCCTTGAGCTTGGGGCCCGAGTTCCCGGGCACCGAGCAGGCCTGGGGTGGAGGGTCACTGACCTAGCCCCGTGGCGTGAGGGTGCACCACTGCCAGACACAGAGCTGCTCCCACTCCGGCGTCCACCACGTTGCCACCCGCGGCAAGCAGCTCTCGGCCCAGGTGGGAGCACATGGCTGCAACAGAAGGAGACGGTGTTGGGTGGGGAGGGTCCGCAGCCAGGGCCCCCCCACCGTCCCTTCCCCAGCACCTCCCGGCACTGACCTGCAGGGCTGATGGTGGCACCGCGGTGGTACACGCCGGGGGTGTGGGAGTGCCCACTGGGCGGGGCTGCTCCTGAGCCCGGGCTTCCTGTGGGGTCGCCCCTGGCATGGAGTTGCCTGGCGGCCAGTGAGAGGCCAACGGCCAGCAGCAGCAGAGCAGCGACTAGGCGAGCCCAGGCCCCGGGCAGCCTGTCAACCTTTCTCCTGCCGAGACAGGTGTCCTGAGCTGAGGTTGGGGTCGGGGACAGCCAAGAATCCCAAGAGAACCCTGGGAATATTTCCCAAAAGTTTTGGTCTAACTTGGGAGAGGAGTTCAAGCCGGCCAAGGAGAAGGTCCTCCTGGCACAGTGCAGACAGGACATGGTGCCCGGGAGGGGTTTGGGGGAGCAGGGCTGCTGGGGTGGGCATCTCTGAGGAGGACGCTGGAGAGGCAGGCTTGGGCCAGGCCGGCGTGAGTCCTGTGGGCTTGGCTGGTGGGACGAGTGAGCCCTGCCAGGTGTTGCCGGGCTCCAACTTGCTGAGCAGGTGCCTCCTGTACCTCCCAGCCTTTCCCCGTTCACCCCGAACGTTCCTGGAGCCCAGCCAAGCATGGGGGGCCTGCCCCCACCCCCACCTTTGGGGCTCCAGAAGGGGGGACACGCTGGCCTTGGGCCTGAGTTGCCAGGTGCCCAGGCTGGTCCTTGACTCACCTCAAGGAGTCCTGGGGGCTCCAGGAATTGGGAATGACCAGCTCCAACGTCTCTGTCTCCTCCTCCTCCTCAGATCCCAAACTTGGATCCCAGAGCGCCAGCTTTTGGTAGAGCACAGGCCCTGCGGCGGGTTCCATGACCCCGCGGTGCTCACGCCAGCTCTCCTGCTGGTCAGCCTCCCCCACTGAGTCCCGGCCTCGCCTCGCCTGCACTGGGCGGTGGGTGGGGGGTGGGGAGGTGGAAGCAGCCCCGGGGAAAGGTGGTGTGGAATCTAGAACAGGTCTGGGCAGAGCGCAGGGCCAGGGCGGCTGCGAGCGATTGCCCCATCAGGGCATGGGGCCTAGGGGCTCACGGGGCTGGGGGCTCGGGAGGGCGTGCAGCCCGGAGGGGTGGGAGGAGCCCAGCCTCGGGGAGGCACCGCAGGCCTGAGACCAGGCCGGGACCCCCGCGGCCCCCTGAGCTTCGCGGATCGCCCCTGGATCCCTCTGCCCGTTGGGGACACAGTGTGGTGTGGGTCAGGCTCAGCATGCGACTCGGCACTGGTGTGGGCAGCCAGGGCCTTCTCTGGGAGCAGCCTGCAGGGTGGGACTCCCTGGGGTGTCGTCGTGGGGCTCCTGTCCAGCAGGTGGCACTGCAGGCCTCCGGGGGCCCAAACGTGGACACACAGGGGTGGGGGGGGGCCCTCTGCTCCCTACACACCTGTGCTGACCTGTCCCCCGTGATCACGGCGCACCGCCATCTTGCCAGCCTCACATCCTGACTCCCAGACATGTCCCCGCCTCCCGTGGCCGGGTCAAGGCCACCCCCCCTGTGTGCTCTCTTGTGCCCAAGATGGCGAATCCGAGAAACCGCCAAGGAGCCGACACCGACGCAAACACACGAGGGTTTATTTACAAGCTCGAGCTTGGGTCCAAGTGTACCTGACGCAGCGGAGCAGGGACTTGGACCCCGAGACTAAGAGGTGTAGCAGCTTTATAGGAGCCAGTGGCCAATGGGATACGCAGAAAGTCGCACAGTCGTGCTGGTCCACTGAACTGGATTTCGGGTTAGGGTGTGCCCTGGTCTTTGACTAGGGCGGGGCAGTGCCCTAAGTAATAAGCAGTCAGCACAAGGGGGGGTGCAGCCCAAAATAGAGTCAGTCCTGCTCTGCTTGTCCAGGGGTAGGGGATTTTGTTAAATTTCCTGAGTCCCACATTCCCTCCTTTTTCAGAGGATCCTATACAGGACCCAATCATGGGTCCAGGTTGCTCTCAGAGTGAGCCAGGGGAATGATTAAACCAGGATTCTCACCAACCTTGTTGCTGTTCTTGCTCTTATTTACAGTTAAGGCAGCACATAACCCCCCCACCCTTTGTTGTAAGAAGACTAAGTCTAATCCCTTTCTATTTTGAAGGACAACCTAGGACTAGGGAGTCTTGGAGGTGGGAAATAAGTGAGAACGGCGCAGTCTTAGCTTTAGGGGATTGTCCTTGTCCGGTTGGCTTTTCCATTCTGGAACAAAGTCCGTGAGAACGGTGTGTGGGTCAGCTGGCCGGCCGGACGTGGGTGTAGTGGACCCAGGGAGTAATCCCGTCGACCTGGAGAGGGGTGGGAGTGGTCGGGATCACGGTGTAAGGTCCCTTCCAGCGAGGTTGAAGTGTCCGGTGTTGGTATCTCCGCACGTACACCCAGTCACCTGGCCGCTATCGATGGGGGTCCGGGGGTGGCCCAGTCTCATAGAGGGCCCTCAGCTTAGGCCACACCTGCTCATGGGTTCATTGTAACATTTGGAGGGAGAAAAGAAGTTGGTGATCATCAAATTCAGCAAGCACCTCAGGTTTTAAATTGGGGATAACAGGTGGAGGAAGACAGAACATGATTTTGTAGGGAGTCAGTCCCATCTTATATGGGGAGTTCCTCACCCTGTATTGGGTGAAGGGGAGGAGAGTCACCCAGTCCCCGCCAGTCTCCAGGGCTAATTTAGTTAAGGTCTCCTTTAATGTTCTGTTCATCCTCTCTACCTGTCCTGAGCTCTGGGACATATATGTACAATGTCATTTCCAATCTGCCCCAAGTACTAGGGCCACTCCCCGTGTTACCTTAGAGATGAATCCTGGGCTGTTATCTGATCTGATCCTAACAGGAAAACCATACCTCGTAAGATGTCTTCCAGCAGTTTCTTGGTCACGGTCTGTGCCATTTCATGTTTGGTGGGAAATGCCTCTGTCCATCCTGAAAAAGTATCTACAAACACTAGTAAATACCTATACCCGTATTTTCCAGGTTTTACCTCAGTGAAGTCCACTTCCCAGTAGGCTCCTGGGCGGTCCCCTTGGAGCTGGGTGCCTGGGTTAAATCCACGGGCAGAGGCATCTGTTAATTGGCATGCGTGGCAGCGTGCCACAATCTATTCGATCTTTCCTCGAGAGTCTTTAATAGTGATCTTTGCATGTCGTATGAGGTCTTCCATCTTCCTCGTGCCCATGTGAGTACTCCGATGCATTTGGGATAGGACTCGCCGTCCTAGTTCCTCTGGCAAGATGATGCTGGAGTCTGCGGCCCTCCACCAGCCACGCAAGCACTGGGTCATAGGCTAGCGTTTGATCCAGTGTAAGTCAGCATCAGTATAGTTGGGGGTGTCAGGCAGGGTCGGTGCCCCCGGTTCCGGGTAGAGTGGTAGCTAAGACCTGGGTCACCAGAAGGGCTGCCTCTTTTGCTTTTAAATCGGCTAGCCGGTTTCCCCTGGCTACTGGCGTGTCTGCCTTTTGGTGCCCCAGACAACAGATGATGCCTAGGGCCTTGGGCAGCCAGAGGGCCTTTAGGAGTTCAAGAATCTCCATTTTGCTTTTAACAGTCTTTCCCTCTGCTGTTAGAAGCCCTCTCTCCCTGTAAAGGCCTCCATGGATGTGAGCGGTGGCAAAGGCGTACCTGCTGTCGGGGTAGATGTTTATTCATTTACCTTCCCCCATGGTCAGCGCCTTGACCAGTGGGATCAGTTCTGCCCATTGAGCCGACATTCCGGCTGCCAGTGGCTCTGCCAGACAGCTGGCCATTGATGCCTTTCTCAGGGTCCATCCATTCAAAGGTGAAGAGGTCTTGGCTCCTGGGTGCTAAAGGCAGGCTGAAAAAGGCATCTTTTAAATCTAATACTGTATATCAAGTTTTGTCTGGAGGCAGGGTGGAGAGGAGGGTGTATGGGTTTGGACCATAGGGTGCATATCCTCTACTCGCCGGTTGACTTCCCTCAAGTCCTGGACTGGCCTGTAATCGTTAGAGTGCGGTTTCTGAACCAGCAGCAAGGGAGTGTTCCATGCCGATTGGCAAGGCCTTAATATGCCCGAGTCCAGTAGTCGCCGTATGTGGGGTGTGATTCCCTTTCGTGCTACCAGAGGCATGGGGTATTGGCGGGCCCTGACAGGGTCTGCCCCCGGCTTTAGTTCTATGTATATGGCCGTTGGATGTTGGGCCAGCCCGATTCCCCCAGTTTCTGCCCACGCTTGGGGAAATTCCCGCGGCCAACGGTCAATGTCAGTCATTGGGGCTGAGGGCATTTGGTGGAGACAATATTTGTCTTCTAAACTCAGGACAAGCACCTGAATCGGGTGCCCTTCTTGTTTAGGACTTTTGCTCCTTCGAGGTGGAAGCAAATTTGCGCCCCCATCTTGGTGAGCAAATCCCGACCTAACAACGGGTAGGGACACTCAGGGATGACCATGAAGGAGTGGGTTACCCGGCCCGTGCCGAGATCCACAGTTCTTTGGGTAGTCCATGAGTATTGTTTGGTGCCCGTGGCCCCTTGCACCCATGATGTTTTGTTTGCCAATTTTCCTTGGGGTTGTAATAAAACTGAATGTCGTGCCCCAGTGTCCACTAGGAATTCAACAGGTTGCCCCTCCACTTTAAGAGTTACCCTGGGCTCGGGGAGGGATGCCAAACCCTGGCTTTCCTAATCATCCTGGTCCTCCATTTCTAAGATCTTGGCAAGGGCCTTAGATCTTTTGTTAGGGCAGTTTTTTACCCAATGGCCCTCCTCTTTGCAATAGGCACATTGGTTTTTGTTCATCTTAGGGCGTTCCCAAGGGGGACCAGGGCCATCCTCCTTAACTGTCCCTGAAGCCAGCTTCTTGAGGTGCCTCTGTCTTTCCTGTGGGTCGTCCATGGTTGTGGCCAGCAGGATCTTGGCCAGATTTCGGGTCTGCCGGTCACTTAGTTTGGTTTGTTGTTCTTCCAGACTTTCTCTATTATTATAGACTCGTTCTGCCACTATCACTAAGTCCTGCAAGCTCTTCTCTCCCAGTCTCTCTACTCATTGCAATTTCTTTTTAATATCCGGAGCAGCCTGGTTAACAAAAGCCATGATAATTGCGGCCTTTGTTTCTGGGGCTTCTGGGTTCATAGGGGTGTACTGTCTAAAAGCCTCTATGACTCTCTCTAAGAAGGCTGCTGGACTCTCATCCTTGCCCTGTCTTACACCATATACCTTGGCCAGATTGGTCGGCTTGTGCACGGCAGCCTTGAGACCTGCCATTAGAGTCTGGCGGTAGACCCAGAGTCTCTCCTTACCTTCAGCTGAGTTGTAGTCCCAGGGCGGGATAAAGGAAAGGCAGCATTTATGAGGTCTGGGTTTTGAGTCGGCTGTCTGTCCTCTCCCAGGACAGACTTCCGGGCTTCCACCTGAATTCATTCTCTTTCCTCGGTGGTGAAGAGAACCTGCAAAAGCTGTTGGCACTCCTCCCAAGTAGGCTGGTGGGTAAAGAGAACAGTATCTAAAAGCCTGATTAGACCTCTCGGATTATCAGAGAACTTTGCATTTTGGGTTTTCCAATTATATAAATCACTGGTGAAGAACGGCCAATATAACATTAGCTGTTCGCCAGTCTCATCGGGGGGCCCCATGGCTCAGAGAGGAAGGGTGGTGGAATCAGTTGGCCCTACATTCGGAGGTGGGGCCATCCGGTGGGTCCGACCACGTGTCCCTGCTGCTGGCCCGCGCACAGGGACTCCCTCGTCAGGGAGGGGTGGTGCCCCTTCTGCAGCTCCTGATGCCTCCAATGGAGGAGCAGAAGCAGGGAGGGATGCCCAGTAGGGTGGTGGGTGAATCAGGTCCTCTGGGGAGGAATCCTGGAAGACTGGATGAAGGGGTGCTTCAGGCATAGAGTTGGTCTCCTTTTTGGCTTTCTGCAGGGCTAGAATCTCTGTGGGTCCTGCTTTGGGGGGTAAAAATGGTTTTAGCCAAGGAGGGGGATTCTCGATCATGTCCTGCCAGATCAGGATGTAGGGCACCTGGTCAGAGTGGCCGTCCGGTTTGTCCCTGAAGACCACGGCCTTAACCTGTAAGATAATAGGTAGGTGAAAAGTTCCTTCTCTGGGCCATCCCATGCCAAAGGTTGGCCATTCTGATATGCAATAAATTTGGAACCTCTTTCTCCATATGTCTATGCTCAGAATACAAGCTCTTTCCCTAATATCCGAGAAGTGAGAGAGCATAAGAGATAGGGGAGTGGTTTCTGTCTCCCCCATTATGTCCCAAATCCACACCAAGACACAGACAGTAGAGACGATTAACAAGGACACAACAACAGAGACAAATGCACAAACAGTTAGCAAGGACATAGTAACACAGACAAACGTGCAAATGGTTAACAAGAAACGGTAACAGACAAACGTTCCGTGCGGCCGCGGAAACAAAACAGAAAGTAACCTGAAGGGCTGGCAGCCGTCCCTCCTTACAGATGAGGACCCCGTCCTCTATACAGATGAGGACCTCTGTCCTCCTTACAGATGAGGACCCCGTCCTCTATACAGATGAGGACCCCGTCCTCCAGGCAGGGGCAAGGGACGTCTCCTCAAGACCCCCAGTCGACGGCCCGCCAGCGCGTCCACCTAAGCCAAAGCCGACCCAATACAGATTGGAATTCCTACAGGTACAGTACAGTTCAGAGCTCTCAGAAAATATGCGTGCAAAAGGTGGAAATAGTTGAGTGCACTCACCACGCGTGAAACCCTCTGGATGGGGTCCTGGAGGTTTCTTGGATCCCGGACAAGCCCCCAAATGTTGTGCCCAAGATCGCGAATCCGAGAAACCGCCAAGGAGCCGACACCAATGCAAACACACGAGGGTTTATTTACAAGCTGGAGTCTGGGTCCAAGTCCCTGCTCCGCTGCGTCGGGTATACTTGGGCCCAGGCTCGAGCTTATAAATAAACCCTCGTGTGATTGCATCGGTGTCGGCTCTTTGGCGGTTTCTTGGATTCCGGATCTTGGGCACAACACTCTCCTGCCCGAGGGCGCATAGCCATCTCCCCCACCCCGCGCCCCCACCTGGCTCTTCCCCAGGACCCTGTGCTCCCACTGGTGGCCCCCTCTGCAGCTTCACTGACTCCCCACTGGTTCCTTCTTAACAACGCCTGAGTAGCAGCTCTGTCCTAGGGATGCAGCCAACAGACATGCACACCTGCCACTGACATCAGCGCCACAGCCTGTGGGGTCTCTCCCCTCACCCCTTCTGGTCGCCCCTGCAGATGCTCTGCAGCTGGGAGTCAGGGGCATCTCAGGTGAGCGCAGGGATGCAGGTAGCCTCTCACAGACAGAGACGAGGGCCAGGGCCCGGCGGGGAAGGGCACCTTCTGTGTGCCTCAAAGTCAGTTGGTGATCCGGGGAGGCAGAGGGGGCCTCTGGGACGCTGGTCCCCAAACGTGGGATCGTGGAAATATATCCAGCTGTGTGTGTATGACACATGCACTTCTCTGCAGGGATATTTTATCTCAAAATGAAGATTTTATTTATTTATTTATTTTTGAAGCTTGAGTATTCTCTGCACTGGAACAACACTCAAAAATCGTCTGGTGCCCTTTCTCTTGCCTCATCCCCTAAAGGTGGGGCATTCTCTACCTTTGGGAGCATTGGAGCCACTCTGGGAGTTTGTGAAATCAGAACATCATTCCTGGAGTTCTGACCCGGAGGGGCTGGGTTACGGCTGGGAATCGGCTTTTTAAGTCCCAGGAGACCTGGAACCACATGTGCAGTAGCGCTGACCTACAAAGAATCACATTGACCTGCTGCCTCCAGTTCCCTGCCTCTCGTTTCCTGTCAGCTTGCTTTAAGCTGGTCTCTGGGGTTTCTGATTCCTCCGATTGAAAAGCAACCAACTGAATAGAGACACCAGCAGAGGACCACC